TTATATAACTCATAATCAAATGTATAAAAAAACAAAAAGAACAAAACAAAAAGTATACTAATTATTATTGTTTATTTATTTATTTATTTTAATTATGGGGAGATTAATGTCTCCATCTTTCTTACCTGGCGTTTGGCCAATTGTTTGAGAAGTGCAGGAGAGGCTGATCTTTCACCGCACGGCACCACCTTATTTGCGTGACTTAGATAATTGGAATAAGCCAGAAGTAAGAAAGACAATGACGTTACATGCTGCATGTTACTCCCTCCAGCCTTGAAAATTAGTCCACCTTTTTTTCATTTCAAGATAAGTAAAAAGAGCTTCAGTATCTTATTTAGCAAAAATAATAATAATGATTAGCTAGCCCCAAAAGTCAAGCTTTTAAAAAAAAATGAAAAAGGAAAAAAAAGGAATCTAATAGATTCCCGCGTTGTTAATAAGATATTATTTTCATTTAATTTTAATTGTTTTAATTTAATTTTTTTTAATTTTTTCTACATTTGTTTTATGTGTTCTGTACATATTATTTTACAAGTTTATTAATCATTGGTGTGTGCAATTGATCAGATGCATCTAAATTTATTATAAAAATTAAAAATAAAAACGGCTTCATTTTGATATTTAAAATATCAAGATTTCATATACAATTATTTATGTAAATATCTTTAATAAATTTTTTTATATGTTAATTTATTAAAGTATTTAAATAATTATATAAAAAATTTTGACATTTTAATTATTAATATATCTTTATTTTTCTGCCATTCCTAATTTATTTGAGAATTGAATTATTTACTTACCAGGAGAATATTGAACTTGAGGATGAGAAATTCCGGGCAATAAAGAACAGATAAAGCCATCAGCATTTTGCTTGAATGATTCGAAATATTCAGCTTTTCCCATCAACACTTCCTGCACAGATTTTTTTGATAGAGGATCAGTATTTTCCAATTCCTCTTTCCACCATGATTATACTTTAATCCTGTTTGTCATATATACCAACTCCTATCCTACTTTGCTTAGTAATTATTAATTTAATTTAAGGTATGAAGATTTTATATATTATATCTGATCTAGTGGAGAAAGATTTTGGTGCCAGTATAGGACATTGGAATGGAACCATTGCCCCAGCCTTTTGGGCACATGCACTGCAGCAGAAACTTGATTGATCACTAGGGTAGGGACCCAGATCTAATAGTGTATAGAAAAAAAAATAGGGACAATCGAGTTCATCCTTGCTTACTTTTTGAATGTATAAGACAAGACACCACTATTTTCATTTTTTGTTTTTATTTTAGGTTGATTGGATAACGAGAGGTAATTTTTTTTTCACTCTATTCGTATGTTATGTGGTTTGAATTCAAAATTTTTTTTTAATGAAAAGAAATTACTACTAAATCACTTAAGTTGTTTGTAAGACACCACTAAATTTAATTTTCCTCCATACACATAGTATATTATAATAGAATTCATAATAGATATTTTGTTTCTCAACACCATAAATTAAAAAAAAAAATTCAATTAAATCACGTAAAATTTCAAATATGACTATGTAGTAAAATAAAAAAAGTAATGTGTAGTTGTAGAATGCTCATTAATATTGTACAAGGATAAACTCATTAATATTAGACTAATTTCTCTTTTATTACAAAAAATTAAAATACAATTTGTTTTATATAAATTAACTTGTTATAATTAATAATAGAAAGGCGAAATTCTTTGATATTAAAAATTTACCCTTTAATCAATAATTAAAAATTATGCAGGTCATATCAAATAAACCGCATCACAACCCTCTCTTTTTATTATTAATAGTTGATAAATTATAAAATTATTAACTCTTAATAAATAAAATAAAATAATATATTTTTATCGCTTTTCAAGACAATCCCCATGTCCTTTTCATGATACTCAGCGTTCTCCTACGTGCTTTCCGAGCTAACTACGTGTTTTCTTCGCTCGTTAGCTCGCAAGATATCCATCACTTAACTTTTATTTATTTATTTATTTATTATTATTATTATTTTAAAAGATTCATCATATCATTAATAATTTAAATAAGTTAGTGGTCTTTTTTTTCTTTAAAAATAAAAAATTTTAAATTTAAATCACATAACATATAAATAAAATAAAATATAAAATATAAAATAATTATTTATTATTATGCAATTAAAATTAGAAAAAAAAAAAAAAAGCACCATGCTACCTAGAGGCCAAATCTTAGCTTCATCATGTGCAATAATCATTAATCATTTCTCTTGTAACATCAATTCTTTTATTAACACCTGCCCATCATGGTTGGCTTGATAATAATTTCATTTATATGGAAATGGAAGTAAGATATTCTTTAGAGGAATGTTATTTTTTAAATTTTTATACGTTATTTCTCATAGAATAATTATTATTTTATTTTTATATTTAATTAATTGTCATTTTTTAACTTTTAAGGTAATTAAATATGTTTTAAATTTAATCATATTATTATTTATTTATTTTAATTAATTATTTTACCACAAAAAATTTTATTTATTTGTTGATTTATTTGAAAGAATAATATAGATAAATGTATAAATTCTATCTAAATTCTTAATTTAAAAAAATAACAATTATTTTAAAATGAAAAAATAATTTTTAGTTTGAACAAAATATTAAAAATACAGTCCACATTTTAAAATTAGTAAATTAATATTAAAGAATAAATATAGGAAAACGTTTTATTAAGGTATCTTAATAATTTTAGTGCCTTTATTGCACTTTTAATATTAATCTAGCTTGAAAACACTATTTTTTTTTATTACACCACATGAAATAAATAAAAGTTGTTTTTTTTTTTTTTTTGCACTTGGCCCGTGTGGCCCAGTGGTTAGAGCCACTGAAAAGTGCACATCCCCCTCCCAAAACCCGCCCCATGACAAAACTGTTCAAAATAAAAAATAAAAAATAAATAAAAGTTGTTTTTTTTTGTTATATAACTTAAAAGAAAAAAGTATTATATAATTTGAATTATATAATTTAAATTATTAGATGCAATAGGTTTTTAGATATTAAAATTTTTTTCTTTTTTCTAATAATTTTTATTTTATAATTTAATAAAATTCAAATTATTAAAAAAATATATTGTTACTATTAGTTTGGAACTACAATCAATGAATTACTCTACTTTAGACCCAAAATGTGCGGCACCTAAAGGGTTCTCAAAAAAATTTGTGGTTCTTCAACAATGTGACCCACCGCCAAAGACCCACAAAAGATTTTGTCTGATTCAAAGGCTCTAACACTTCTAATCAAAAGTAGTTGCCACGATTTGAGTGCACTAATAGCAATTTCTCATTCTAATAGGGCAAGAGGTTCTAAATTCAATTTTGATTCCCTTGTTTTGTAGTATAATTTTTAGGGATTAGAGAAAATATGTAAATAAGGATAATGGTTTTATTTTTTTT